CTGACACACACACACACACACACACACACAAAGAAACAAACTCGCATCCATTTAGATCATTAATATTTACGACCAAATCTGGGCTGAGAGGGATACAACATCCCAGCAGAAAGATGGAGATCTTCGATAAAAATTCTGCCTCTAGTAACTGTCTCTATTTTACTTTAAAACATTGAGTATGATGGGACGTGGTGCTATTTCATCATGTTACTGAATGACTAAGTTCTCTTTTCTATTACCTTATTGTGTACAATAACATTGTTCATGTTTGTCCTCAGAAATACCCAAGGGCAGAGTTCGAAAGACATCGATTGTTGAAAAGCTCTCAAAATCTAAGGAATCTGAAATGATTGCCCTGTCAATAATGGTATGTTGCTTCCTCCCCCCCCTCTCTTTCTCTCCTCTCTCTCTCTTTCTCTCCTCTCTCTCTCTCTCTCTCTCTCTCTCTCTCTCTCTCTCTCTCTCTCTCTCTCTCTCTCTCTACCTCCATAGACATACAAGCTTATGTGTGCTGTCAATTCCTGATTGTGTTTGCAGGAAAGCAATTAGTTCCAAGAAATGTTGAGCTCAATACTTTTTGTGTGAGACAGCTATTTATGCTTACATTGTTGAGGATGGATAGCTCAATATTTTGACAGAAAGAAGATTTTCAGGTTCTGTGTTTGAAAGCTTTTGTCAGGTTTTATTGTTGATTTTTCTTTTTAAAAATTCTTTATTTTTTCAGGGGAGGGGGGTATTTTTAAGTTTGGTTTGGTTTCATGCATTTGGACTCTTGTAACTTAAGAAATGAAATACCTACATTAAAAAAATCCTTCCTCTGGATATTTCAAGAGTTGCTTCAGAAGTGGGTTTTTAATTTTATTTTATCAGTTCTTCCTCAGCAGAATGTGGGTATTATCTGTACCAAAAGTTTTCAGTTTTGTTTCATCTTTACTTCCTAAAGAGAATAATGTGGGGGTGTTGCATCTATTGTTGTTTGATCCTCATTTCCTCAGGAGAATGTAGGAGTGTGGGTGGTTGGCAGGTGCTCTGGTGTGGTTTACTCCTTCTTTCCTATCAAATATCTATCGTCCTTATCTCCCTTCTTTTTTATGTTTGTTACTCTTGTAACACATCTAATCTTCTAGCGCTCATATGACCTTATGCGGTTGAGAGCGCCGTAAAACCTCTACTAAAACTAAACGAATGTAGGAGTGTTGCATCATAGGTCTCAATTTTTTTGTTTTATCTATGCTTCCTCAGGAGAATGCTGGCCAGAGACAACGAGAGTTTGAGAAACTCATCAGCGAGCACCAGGAACTTGTACAAGAAATCAGCCGGACGCCGAGCGCGGAGAACATCGTCCAGACGGAGACGGGTCGTGACCCATAGTGAGGAGGAGGAGGCGGCGTACGCTTCTTACCCATGAACTTTGAGGACTGTCGGAGGAGCCGCAGGGCTCGTTGTTTTGTTGTTGCGTCCTGAGGTGCGGATGGATTACGCCACCGACGACGCACCGCAATGTCTCTCTCTCTCTCTTTCTCTACAATGTCCGTCACAACAAAGGGGGGAGGGGGGGTCGGTCGGATCACTTTGGGGCTCTGCAGATTGCGTGCAAAGTCTCTGCTGCGGATGTTCTGACTTTATGCTTTAGATTAGCGGAAGAGTTGTCAGCTCGTTCAATATAGATAGCGTTTTTCTTTTCTCCATGTCATGGATAAATGAATTGTTCAAAGATGATGTTTGTCAGATTTAACCTGATCATCCTGATCGTTTGGGTTATTTTTTTCGGGAGCCATTTTACTGGCAACATTTTTAGGGCTGATGACATATAATATATTTGTATACGTCAGTGACATAAAAGTAAATATATATGTATGTATATATATAATATATATATTTTATATATATATATATGTATGTATATATATATATATATTTTGTATATGTAGAATGTTATATACATAGTTTATTATGCAGTGTCTCTGCTTGCTAGCAGATCAGGACAGTAGAAGTGGTTGCTTCCGTCCCTGTGTTTAGACTCATTACATTCGTAAACTTTGAATTGTGAATATTTTACAGCATGTTGTATACCACAAGAAGTTGCAAAATTATTATTTTATTTGTCACTCATGTAAAATTGTGATTGGGGGAGGAGGGGAGGGTGTTTTCTTATGGCTCACCGCCAAAGGTGAAGGCAGGTTGCAGCTTCCGTGTCTAGCTTAAATCAAGCAAGTACATAATTTGAAAACTGAATAACGGTATCAGATTTTTAATTAGACTGACTCAGATGTAACCTGGGCATTTATGAGAAATCAAATTGAAGAAATGTGTTTCATTTTTTCTTCTTTTGGACAATTTTTTTCCCCCTTGAAAATAGATTTGTTACCTTATGTGGGAAAGCAGGAGCATACATTTTTTTTGTATTGATTTTCTGGCCCTGAGCTAGGATTCTCCTGTGTATTGTGTACAGTAGTTCCTTGTCCACATGCTTTTGAACTTCATTCATATTTGCAGAAAAAAGATATTTTTCTTAACTGAATTGGAGTTATGAGAAATCATTTGTCTGACTGTATATATTATGATGTTTTTACAATATATCAGAGTGACAGAAAGCACTATCTGAATTGTCGTCTAGCCAAAAAAAAAAAAGAAATGTAAAATAAATGTGCTGTTTATTGGTTTATACCAAAAGAAACATCTATTTAATATAAATATTCTCTTGATAGAATTAAAAACAAGAGATGCAGGCTAGACAAATTCGCTGTTTCTTAGTTTCAGGAGATGGTCAAATTTTTTATTAGCAAAAAATCAATTTTTAATTTTTTAATTTAAAAAAATATTTTTTTTTGGGGGGGGGGGGTATGTTTGTGTCGGTAGCTCATGAAGCTCATGAATGTACAAAGGAATATTTTTGAACACTTAATATGAAAACTGTATACTGTTTGTATTGGATGCTAGTAGTATACGCTCACATATGTTCTTTTTTCAAATGCATAAACGCTTTGGGTCAGACTCTCTCTCTCTCTCTCTCTCTCTTTTTCTCTCTCTTGCCCTTTTTAACTCCCAGTGGAGCATACGCCATCGACAACATTTCTGAAACCTGTTTTGTGCATCCTTTTCTAGCTGTTTCCATGATGTCCCCGCCTTTTCCATTTCCACTTGTGGTTATGTGGTTAGACTCTGACAATCCATTATTGATGGTGTTATGTTCTCGGTGTGTAACTGGAAGAAATAGGTTTACTCTCTTGGGAAGGGGAGGGGGGGTTGAAATCAGCGTTGATGTCGTTCTGAGGATGCTTAATAGAAATAAAGACTTGGCATGCACTATGTACTGTACAAAGATACTGTGGGGTGACTTGTGCGTCTGCTTTCATTTAAATCGAGAAGGCTTTTTATTTTGAGAGACCAGTTTCATGGTTAGAACCTAACATTATCAATATGTTTGTTAGATGTAAAACTGTGTTTCTGATTGCTGTCGGAAAATATCACAGCTGTGACTGAAACAGCTTTCACAAAAAATAACAACAGGTGTATTTTCAGGCAGCAGTTACACCATTGCCAAAATATCTAACGTTTAAGACTATTATGATTTTGAAAGTAATTAATGCTTGTATTGTGTGTTGTATCATAAGACCGTGATAAGTTACAGTTCTAGTACATGAAGAAGGTTCCCATCGCATGTGCTGGTGCTTTTTAAACTTGTCTCAGTTGTGCATGTGGGTGATTTTTATCCATTGATGACTCTCTCATTCTTGCTCTCTTGACACTAGTTCTGCTCAGATTACCTCTCTGTCTGAGGATAGTCAGTTCGTTGTAATTTTCAGAAAAGAATTTCTTTTATTTATTTGAATAATAATTGTTTAGCAAATGATACATTTTTCTTGTTGAAGCCCAAAATATCACTTTTTATTTGGAATACAAAAAGTGATTTTCTTGCACTGAGTAACCTGAACGATATTCCAGATTGCACTTAGTTCGGAAGATGCAGAGCTGTGTTTTCATTGAGGAATATGTGTGCTTACTAATTCTGAAGTTTTCAAGTATGATCTGTTGTTTGTTTTTTGTCGCAGCGACTCTTGTCATTTAGTCGGGTTTACTTCTTGCCATCTTGGTAAGTAGTTGGGTTGGAATCTCGTCTTTCCATATTCTGTCTCACACTGATTGAAGATCACGTAAATAGATGAGGCCACACTTTCGTCTTTCTGCTTTCGCAGATGAGCTCAAAGGCCGAAGGCTCAGATTTGTTTGCCCCGGCTGCAAGAACCTGCTCTGGTCAGCGCACAGTCTAGCACGCACATAGCGAACACGTACGTAGGGAACACGCATGTAGGGAACACGCACTGAGCAAAATGTGCACGTGGTGAACTGATTTTCAGGTTCTGCACTTTTTCTTGTGCATGTATTTCTTTGTGCTTAAATAAGTACATAATAAAAGTTAAACATAGTGGAAAGATGTGAGCATTCCACCGAGTCTGCTATGTGCATGCTAGATTGTATAGTCAAAGGGGGACTCTCGATGATACCTTTTTAATGACAAGAATAATAAAACTAATGGTAAAATTGATGATAATGATAATGATGATAATATTGTTGCTGTTTGTGGGATGTGTAAAAGTGGCTTCTGCACAAACCAAAGAAAAGCTGAAACCTAGGTTTCTGTTGTTTGGGGGAGGGCTGGGGGTTCTCTTTTTAAAACCTTTGTTTGAGGAGGGGAGGAGAAGTATAATATTGTGTATATTTAAAGAAAGATATGAGGGCTCTTTTTATGGTTCAGAGTAACATTTATAATGTTTTCTATTTCTATCATTATTGTCAATTCTACTCAGAAATCAAAACGTATATGGGGGCTCCTTTTAATATAAGAGTAGTATACATATTGTACTTTATTACATTATTGTATTCAGAGAGTAATAAATTTGTATCTCGTAACTTTGTTGATTGTTTTTCAGGAGTAGAGAAATGCACTGTTCAGTGTAGACTCACTCTTTTATAACGATGGTGTTATGCTCTAACCATGCAGCTGCTAGAAATGAGTTAGCTTGCTATTTGTTCTAAAACTGTTGACAGACACATTCTGCTAGTCTCCCAAAAAAATACTCCCTCTGGTCCTGGTTAAACATCGACATCCTTTACAGCTTATTGAGCTGTGAATAAAAGTTCCTAAACTTAAATTCCAAAAGGGTACGCTATTTGGGGTTTTGAAATATTTTTTTTTTAAACGCTGCTCGGTTATAGCATGACATTATCTATAAGTCGAGGATAACCAGTCCTGAAAAGGTCTCTGAGTCAACTTTATTTCCTGATTGTTCATAATGTCATGACTTCATTAACAAATCATGATCCTTGGCACTTTGGCCACCTGACTAAGACTTTCTCATGTTTCATTATGTCAGATTCTCCTGAAATTTGGCTCTGTATTAGAAAAATCTGTGACTTTTTTTGTTTTTTTATTTGTTCTGCTCCATGTTCAATGAAGACTTTTGTGAAAAGTGTATGTTGAAAGAGGAATGTCTTCTCATGTTAGTATAAAAATGTCACTGTGAAAGATAATTAAATTAGTTTTCATTTTGGGCGTTTCTTGGGTGTAGACAAGGCAGAGCTTTGAATCAGATATTGTTTAAGGGTATTGTCTCAGAGATTTGACAAGTCTGGATTACCTGGTGCACTTTTAGAGCCAGCGACATAGTTTAGTGACTTGTAGACATTTGACAAGTCTATAAATTCCGTGGTTCGTTTTTAGAGTCATCATAGACATAGCTTAGTGACATAAGACTTGTAAATATTTACCCGCCTCAGAACTATTTTGTTCAAAGTGCCTCTTTACTAAAATGAACTTTGGGCAATATAGTTCTGAGGCGACGATTTGACAAGTCTGGATAAGCCAGTTCATTTGTAGAGTCATAAACGCTGTATAGTTACATAGAGTTTGTTCCCTCCTCCAGATGTTACACCATTACTCTAGTGTTGCCTCTCAGCGTTACCACTCAATCTTAACTTTTTCATTCCATTGTATCTCTGTGTAAGTCTGTCTGTGTTGGTATATATATTGTGTGTGTATGTCTGTATCTGTGTGTGTGTGTGTGTGTGTGTGTGTGTGTGAGTGTGTGTGT